ATTTTGATGGGAAAACTGCTAACTCAGGAACGGGGAAAGCTGAAGGCTTTAATTTTAAGGGAATGTGTCCTGCTCATGTGCGACTAAAAGGTTTTAAACTTAACTCTTCTTGTGTGGCCTTTTTTTGCGGACCAGCAATTTTCCATTTGTCGGGTCACTGAAGCCGACATCTACAACTGACATACCACATAGTTTCACAATTAACTTCCCGAACTTCTAGGGCTAGTATTTCACAGGGTTAGCTACCATGATTCCTTGCGATCTTGCTACGGCACAAAAACTGCAAAAACGCATACTCACACCGGTCCGCCTGGCGCGTTCCAGCCTGGGTTTGCATAGTTCCTCGCAGAATTTTTGCTGCTAACGACATTGTTTTTTCCGGCATTTGTTTCTAGCTAAAAAAATTGAGGCTGGTCATCGCGAATATGAAAACATCCCCTTAAAATTCCAAATTTCTAGCTTTTCTGTTTCCCGAGTTAGCAACCTACCCGCAAAAATTTTCACGGACCTGTTCTCGCTCAGGGTCCACACACAAGACTAGGTTGAGGGCTGAGTTTGAAGTCATTAAGTTCTGTGTTGACAGGGGGGTATCCTCTTAAAATTTCAGGTTTCTAGCTTTCCTAGTTTCCGAGTTAGCAACTTACTCATCAAAAACTTTCACTGGCCCGTATGTGAAGACTCTGCTGAAAAGGGCGTCCATTTTGGGGATAGGGGCACGCATGTGCATGTAGATTAAGTTTCCATAGTTTCAGCCTTGTAACCTCTCTGAGTCTCAAGATGGAAACACACACAGAGACATCCCATCAACAGCGTGCGTTTTTGTATAGCATAGATGCGGAAAACGCATAAAAAGTGAACCTAAAGCAAATAATTGGCCAAGGCACGGGCTACCCGTGCGAAGATGCGCCTTTTGCATAGTTCTCCGCAGATTTCTGCCACTAATGGCAGCGTTTTTCCGGCAGATGCTTCTAGCTAAAAGAATTTCAGACTGGCCACCAGGGCTGTCAGAAAACATCCCTTCAAAATTTCATTCTTTTAGCTTTTCAGGTTCCCGAGTTAGCGACTTACCCGAAAAAAACTCTCACGGGGCCATACGTGAATACCACGCACATCCGGGAGCTGGGTTTAAGCTCATTAATACCTACGTGAATGAGAAACATTCCCTTAAAATTACAGTCTACTAACTTCCCAGGTTCCCGAGCTAGCGACTTACCCAAAAAAAATTTTACGAGCCCATACGTGGGTAGCACGAATACCCTAGGGCCGGGTTTGAGCTCATTAATATCTACTTGGACGGGGAACGTCCCCTTAAAATTCCAATCCTCTAGCTTCACAGGTTTCCAAGTTAGCAGATTACCTGAAAAAAATTTCACGGACAGTACTTGGGTACCACGCATACTCGGGGGCTGGGTTTGAGCTCATTAATATCTACTCGGACAGGGAATGTTCCCTCAAAATTTCAGCTTTCCAGCATTTCTGGTTCCCGAGTTAGCAGCTTGCCCGCAAAAAGCTTTGGCGGACCTGCACGTGGGTACCACGCGTGTAAAGGCGTCCATTTTGGGTATTGGGTCCCGAACGTGCAAGTAAATTAAATTCACAAAGGCTCAGCCATGTAACTTTTATAGGTCTTGAGATGAAAAATCGGTACAGACGCACTCACAGATGCATAGATACATGGACACACAGGCAACCCCTCGCAATATGCGTTTTCTGCATTGCACAGACGCAAATGCTTTTACTTCAAAAAAATGAAGTAAAAGCAAAAAAAAAAAAAAATTTAGTTCATGTGAGTGCAAACTGTCCTTATAGTGGGGGACTTCCTCATTTATGGAGCAAATACATAGGTGAAGCTAAGTGTGAATAAGTTCCACTGTAGGATATGAACTAAGCAAAAAGTGGGGTACATTAGATGCATGGGGATGGAGTCAGCCTCTACTTATGTGAGATTTTGGAGGCAAAAAAAAAAAAAAAAACAGAGGCATAAGTACTGTGCATAGCCGAAGGATGCTGAAGGCAAATACATTGGAACTGTGTGGATCTTTTGTGCAAATCCAATCGAACTGGTAGCTTTTATCTTTACCTAAGCATCAGTTTCATAAATAAAAAAGCCCCTTACTGACGACGGATTATTGGACAACTTCTATAGGACAATTTCCACTTGCATAAGCTCATTCTTTATTTGCCTTTGCTTTTTTGTGCTTTTATTCATTGGTCCCAACTCTTTGATTTCGCTTTTTTTCGCTTTTATTCATAATCTCAGGTTTGCTTTAATTTACTTTCCGTTGTAATGTTATGCTGCCGCTTTCTCTTTATTGCTGTCTCCAGTTCTTGCCTTGTACCCTTGTTCCTCTCCTCTATTCTCTCTCTAGCCCCCACCTCCAGAACAGCATCTGGGCACCAATTAACCACCATCATGCTTTCCTACCCACGTCCAACCTCCTTAAGGATGGGCTCCTGGGGGAAGAGGGAGGGAGTGACGATGGGGCCGGCGAGCAGCGTGGGGCTCCTGGAAAGGAGCGCCCCTTCTCACCCAACAGCTATGCAAAAACTGGGAATAGAGTTGTACCACTGGTATTTAGATTGTTCCAGTTTTATTTATGAACAGACCCGGACTTCTACAGCACTGGCACCTACAGGAGACACCTCCCCTACCCTCCGGATCCGCACACCCCCCCCCTCCCCCACCCCGCCCTCCAACCACCTCTTTGTCACCAAAGGCCAGCGTTGCTGGCAAAGTGCCAAGCTGTGCCAGCAGGGACACTGTGAAATAGCGTTAGCAGAGAAGCTAGAACGTCTCTCAATGGCGGGCGAACTTTCCATTGATCAGCGCATCTCACTTACGTCGTGTGGCCGCGTAGTACATTGGCACGTTGGGGATGGTCGTTTGCATATTTTTCAACGTGTCCGTTGCGTTCTGTTGTGTTTCAGTTCCTTTCTTCGTGTTGTATGCTTTTCAGTGTTTTCTCCAATGTAATTATGCACTTCCTTGTCCCATCCACACATTTCTTTTTTTCCATCCTGATCCCCTATAGAAAGGCAGTGAAAATGATCGTCCTGCCTGTGCCTCTGCCCGGAACTTTTTACTTCCTCTTCTCAGTGGGAGCGAAAACAGAGAGGTTTCGACTTTTGACTTTGATCATATTGAGCCATGCACATTTCGAAATTACCGAGTGCAATTGTTGCGGTATCTCTGTTGCTTAGGGATAAATCACTGCAAAAGGCAGTACGGGCCTATAAGGCCCTGTGAGGCAAAGAAGAAGGGGCCGGAACAGCGGCTTTAAACTTTAGCGTGTAAAGGAATGTCTCTCTTTCGAAGGCATTGTGAACTGGCGTATCAATTGCGTGATGCGCTGTTGTAGTACTCTGTGATTATTTGAAATTACTGTGTTTTAATTCCTAAAAATTTTGTGTTGGCTTTTGCATTTTGTATTTTCCCTATCCATTTCCATATTCAAACGCATGACAAAGCATGCATGTGTGCCCTGTGTTTAATGAGTAATTGAAAATACAGTGAAATGAGTATTGTACTAGCCTGTGAGTAATTAGACTTAGATAATGATCATTCCATAACCGCCCTAGCC